CCCCCACCCCGCCCCGTCTGCTGTGCTGCTCCTACGGGCCCCAGGAGAGCCCGCTGGAAACCCGGCGCAGACCCTGAGTCCTGCTGGGTCCGCTCTGGGGGTGGCGGGGGGCTGGCCGAGCCGAGGCAGGAAGAGCAGCAGAGGGGGGCTGCCAGTCTAGGGTTGGGACCTGCGGCTCCCACGGTGGAGCAGAGAGAAAGGTGTGAGGGTCCACGGGGTGGGGCCAGAATCAGGTGCTGACAGGGGCCCTGCAGGAGAGGGGGCTTCTGCCAAGGGGCAGCGGCCTCTGCCCTTGGGCTTGTGAGAACCAGAGCCCAGACGGGGCTTACTGGACCTGGGGAGAAGGGGGAACAAAGGGGGAGGGGATCCAGAGAGCTCTACCGATGAAGCCTGTCCCCAGGGAGCCCGTGAACATGGTCATGGCCGTTGGAAACAAGGAAGACGGGATCCTGGTAGGAACGGAAGGAAAGTACTCCTCCATGGCGGCCAGCTTCAGGTGAGGTGCTCCAGGCGGGGGACAGCAGGATCCTGCGCTTTTGATGGAGCAGAAGGAGGGGAAGGGGGGGGGCTCCTGTGGGGAAGGGCTCAGTGAAGACAGAGGGTGCAGTGGGGGAACTGGTGAGCCATGGGGGCTCTATGAGGACTGCAGGGCCCCATAGGAATACGAAGCCTTAGTTTGGGGAGCGGGCCCAGGAAGGGGGTGAGGACTTGGTGGGGAAAAGGGTTCAGTGAGTGGACCGGGACACAGGGAGGGGTGCAGTGGGGAAAAGGGGCTCAATGAGGGAAAGGGGCTCTAAAGGGGTGAGTGGGGGGACTCCATGGAGAAGGAAGGTGGGGTTCAGAGAGGTGGGGATGAGAGACCTCCAGTTTCAGGTGCACAAGACCAGATGTGGCCAGGGGAACCCCCTTCTGGGATGCAAACGTTTCCTTTGAAAGACACCTTTCTCACAGGTGTGGGATAGGGCAGGGAGAAAGGGATGGGATGAAAGGTATAATGACCCCTGTCACCCTCTTTCAGGTCTCACGAGCATGGGAATGCCTATGACAATGTCCCTGAGGAGGAGGGCAGGGTCCGGAGCACCCCCATGTGACCCCACTTGCCTGTGGCCCCCAGCGCTGATCCTGGGCATCTGTGATCAGTGCCACTCCTCTGAGCAGGAATCTATAGTAACAGGCCGACTTCTTCAACCTCACACTGACCCACCCTCCCTGGAATTGTCCCAGACATTGTTGGAACTCACACTGTGGTTCTGGGGTCTCCTGGGGAGTCTCCCACTCAATTCAATCCAGAAGACCCTTCTGAAAGAGACAGTTGGCTCAGCACCTCCCATCCTGCCTCACATTTCCTCCCCTCACTGTGGAAATCACCTATTGCTGTGAATAAAGACTTTTTGTACTTCTGAGGCTGAGGCTCCCAGGTTCAGAAACAGCCCCTCAGGCTTCCAGACAGCCCCTACCTGGCTTTTTGCACCATGACAATCACCTTCCGAAGCTGCTCTCATGGTGGCTTTGGAGGGTTCGCCAGGGAGCCCTCTCTGGAAGGCCCATGGGGCCAGGGAGCTCGCCCACTCTGCCCTTATTCCAGGCAGCACCACCCCCTCCCCCTTGCCTCCATGCTGCCTGGCATTTCAGCAGGCCCACCCATTCAGCTCTCTCCCTCTCCCCGCAGCCTCTCTGGGTGGGCTTTGGGCATAGGAAGCACCACGGAGGAGTCTTGGGCGAGGACTTAGGAAGCCCAGATTTGAGTCCAGTTCCTCCACCAACCTGCTGTGTGACTGTGGGAGAGTCACAGTCTTCTCTGAACCCAGCTTCCCCTCTGTGGCAGGTTTGGCCAGTCTCACCACGGAACCAGAGTAGAGTCATCCTCACTGATGCCACTGACTCCCAGTCCTGGGTGGGGTGGAGTCAGGGTCCCAGTGGGAAGGAAGCAGGAGGGAGAGAGGAAGCATGACTCAGCCGCTGGCAGAGGCCCCTCACTTCTATGATTGTCATTCTTATGGGAACAGCCTCTGTCTCTCTGTTTCTCTGTCTAGGGTGACAACCTGAGTCAGACTCACCTGGGAGCACTCCCATATGCAGAAGAGCAGGGCTAGAGGGTAGGAGGCAGTCCACCTTGTCCCCAAGATCTCCCTCTGCCACCTGTCCCAACCTGAAACAGCCCCTCACTGCACCATTACAGCCATTCAGCTGCTGTTCTAAGGCTTTACTTCAAAACCCCCGGGGAGACCTCTCTGAACTTGGAATCCTTCCTTCTCTCCTCACTGGGGTCTAGTTTGCAGCCAGGAGCAGTGGGAAGTGCCCCGAGCAGAGGGATGGCACGGTCTTTGCCCCAGGCCCACCCTTTCCCTGCTGTGTGAACTTGGGCAAGTCTCCTCTCCTCTCTGAGCTTCAGCTTCGTGAACTGTGGCTATAGCTCTTGTGATTCTACTCTAGGCTTTTGCTCATGTGGTGACTGAGACGATTTTCAAGATCACTTCACTCATGCTCAGAGTGTCATGATCAGAAATACTGCTTGCTCACCGCGCTTCAAGCGGCCGACACGTGGGCTGGTGCCTTCTCACCCACCGCTGCCAGTTTAAATTCTACATAGTGCTTTTTTCTTGGCCCAGCCAAGGTTCCTCTTCCTCTAGGAAGTCTTCCTTGATTAGACCAGAGGGCAGAGCTAGGGGGGCAGCCAGCCCAGCCCCTCACTTACTGAAGGAGAGGTGGAGGTTCCTAGAGGGCACAAATACCTGCTCTTTCCTCTCCTGCTTCCTGGTCGGGACCTTTCGGCTGCCTGGATCTGACTCTGCTTGCATGAAGCTATATTCCTTCCCACTGCTGGCCCCAAGTTTCCCTGAATGGCAGGGTGGGGTTGAGTCCCCCACCGGCCTGCTAGGGCCCAAAGGCAAAGCCACCCCCCTCTGTCTCCCTGCAGCCCCTCTCACCTGTCAGGCCTCACCAGGTGGGACGGGCGTGCAGGGGCCTAGTCCTGGGGCAGGTCCCCAGCTCTCTGCCTGCGCCTCCTCGCGCCCCTCCCCAGGCCGGCAGGAACTCTGGGGGTCCTTGCAGGTGCTGGGCTCGTACTGACCTTCCTCCCCCCGCCCCCGCCCCTGTTCCTGCCCTGACAGGGGGCAGGGGGCAGGGGCTGCGGGGTCCAGGGCCGCCGTAGCCCCCAGTCCTTATCGCTGGTTCCCACCTGCCCTGCTGGCCAGATGAGGGAGGGGAAGGAGGCTGGGCCCGGGCCAGGGCGGCGCTTAATGACCCTCCGGGGGCCTAATCTCAGC